GTGGGCTGTGGATGGCTGTGGAAGGTTTGCTGTCCAAACCCGGACTTATCAGGGCTCCGTGGCTCACCCGATGCACTTCCTCAATTCGACGTCGGAAAAGAGGAACGTCCTCCCTGTTCGTAAAGGAACGGCGTCTTCCAAGAAACCATGCTATCCACTTCCATGTTAGTGAGTTTCATATGTTGTTTCTTGCTTTCGCCCTGGTTTTCGAAACATTTTGAAGATAGGATAGTGATGGATAGTGGGTGTCTATGTGGTCACTTGGCGTCTATGAAATAGATGTCTCAGTTCATAGGGTCTTCGTGGAGCCAAATCTGCACCTCACCGAGGCTGCTTCGAGAGCTCAAAGAACGGGCCGAAGCAGAGAGGCGGTGCCGATGCCATCTGTGCGATGGCGTGGGTTGGAATCATAGAGCTTCGTTGCTTCATGTTGTTTCTGTTGATAATTGAAAAACACCTTTGGTCGAGTTGTTCATGCCCATTTTTGGTGCTCGGGGTATTCTTGCTGAAGAGACCAATCTAGGCTCCATGATTGGCGTGGGGGAACACACAATGTGTGGCAGAGCCTGGCATAGTGAGACTCCCGACCAAATGTGGGGACGAATGTTTGGCATGAAGTTGCCGGTTCGTCTTAAAACTCAGGAACTTTCATAAGCCTCTTTTGGAGAAAAGACCATGTGTCAAGAATAGGGTACCATCCAAACCCACAAATGACATGTAAGAAACAATTGGCTGAAGACACTCCAGTTGTGTTGGACCAACCAACCAGGTGCCAGCCTCCTTTCCTTCGAGACTCTGTGAAACGCTTCCCAACCGCATTTTTACTGAAGAGCCGTTGACCATTCCTGACCCCACCACGAAAGTGGCACCCTTCGGGAAAAGGTCAACACCTCTTCGGGTGGGTCTTGGTGGGCCAGGTGTTGGTCGTCGTGAAATTGAATTTTTGGGCAGCCTCCCCGACCTTGGTATGGAAGGCACAAGCAGAGGATCAGTATTATTCGGAATACCGTATTAGTTGTACATCAAGATGAGTTTGGGTAACATATTATCACAACACATGTTGCACTAACATGTACATCGCAGGAAGCTGTGATGATAATGATGATTATTATAAATTACGATGATGTTCCTTTCTGTGAACTGGCATGTGTCTAAATATTGGCAGTATGCTCTGCCGACATGTGCTAGTTGGGTAGGTGAAAACTATCAGGCTTCCACTCCAGCCGAACGACAGGCGACAGAAAGAAGCCGAAGCAAGGTTGGTGGGCCCAGTGGACAACCAAAAAGTTGGAAAGATGAGACCAGTAGGTTTTTGTTCCTTTCTTTCACCGTCTTTATCCTCCGGACCAGAGAGCACAACATGCTGCTGGCCCGTTGAGCATGTGTGTTTGAGCATCTGGTGTTCCGAAGGCGGTGGAGCCATGTCATGTGGGCATGTGGTTTTGTTTTGAATATCACATCATCCGGAAAAACAAAAAAAACACATGTTTCGGTGAATCCGTGGAACTCTGGGAAGGTGGTGGCTCCGGTAGCTGCACAAGGTGTCATCAACGATATCCAGTCTAAGCCTAGCAGCCTAGTAGCCCGGCATCCAATGGTGAGATGCGGAAACAAGCTTCTAGATGAGAGTGCCCAACAACACCATGCTGGGCGACATTTGTGGAGGCTTAATCCCACAGATAGGGTTTAGGCACTTGGACAAGACGGTAAAGCGGAAGATGGTATTCTGAGGGAGCTTTTTGGTGGTGCATTCTTGCAACAGGTTTCAGGCAATTTGACGCACAATTCAGGTATGCCTGGCCAGAAAAAAAGAACCAGCAGGGTTTTCCTACGGATATTCAACTGCATGCGATGCTTTAAGAGTAGTGGATCTCCAAAGCAGGTCGCCGGGTGTTTTCGGTGTGATCCTTGCTTGACATGATTCAAAGTGGGTTGCCACAAACCTAGAACCATAAGGGGTACTCAACGGTGTATTTGGGGTGTGTATTGGACACCCTATGGATGCTCCTGGTATATTATATTGGTTTCCGTCAGCTCCTGGTAATGTTGGATCTTAATTAGCAAAAGGCCCCCCCCTAGCAAACAATCCAGGGGGTCTGAAGAGTATCACCGCCGCAAACAGTAGTAGTAGTAGTAGTAGTAGTAGTAGTAGTAGTAGTAGTCGTGGTGGTGGTGGTGGTAGTGTTGGCAATAGCAGAACAATAATAAAGTTAGATTTTTCCCGTAGGGCTCCAAGTTTGCTTATTAATCCCACCCCCTAAACAATTCATACTATTCAATTTCCCTGGGCTTGTGTACCAGCCCCTTGAAAAATTGTTTTGAGCAATGAAACCGTTGAGTTTTAATAAGCGTGATTGATAACGATTTCCAGGTTAAAATTCCATGTATCAAGCAAACCTCAGAAGAGTCAAGTAAGGATTTCAAAGGGCAGCTATAGCAGAACAATAATTAAGTTAGATTCTTTTTTCTGTAGGGCTCCAAGTTTGCTTATTAATCCCACCCCCTAAACAATTCATACTATTCAATTACCCTGGGTTTGTGTACTAGCCCCTTGAAAAATTGTTTTGAGCAATGAAATCGTTGAGTTTTAATAAGCGTGTTTGAAAACGAGTTCCAGGTTAAAATTCCATGAATCAAGCAAACCTCAGAAGAGTTAAGTAAGGGTTTCAAAGGGCAGCTATAGCAGAACTATAATAAAGTTAGTTCTTTTTTTTCCTGGAGGGCTCCAAGTTTGCTTTTTAATCCCACTCCCTAAACAATTCATACCATTCAACTACCCGGGGTTTGTGTACTAGCCCCTTGAAAAATTGTTTGGAGCAATGAAATCGTTGAGTTTTAATAAGCGTTTTTTGAAAACGACTTTCAGGTCAGAATTCCATGAATCAAGCAAACCTCAGGAGAGTTAAGTAAGTATGTTAAAGGGTGAACAATAGCTGAACAATAGGAAAGAAAACACAATCAAATCTCGAAAAAAGACACTGGGTGAAAGAACTTGTTATTTGTCCGACCCATTAAACTAATCAGGGTGTGTGAATAATTTGGCGAACATGTTTCATTATTCCGTCCCATTTTACTAATTAGGATGCAACACTATTTGTATCTAAACATGCTGGATTATGATATTTGGGTATAACATGGTATAACCTACAAAGGATTTGACTAAAACTATTCTAGTTTGGAGGACATGATTACTAAATGATTACTCAAAACTATGTATATCTCTTTTGGTTAGTTTGTAAGACAGAGAAACATTATCCATCACCCATAGTAGCGGTACTTGACTGTTTGATGCTGTTCGCACGTGAGACCAACTACTCGTAGCTCGTGGGGCCCAGAACATGAAGAAGGTGGCTGGGACGGTTGGCCTCGGAACATCTCGTTCCGAGCAGCCACGAATTGCGGACGGTTGCTATCAGAGTCAAGATTGACCCGAAACCAAACTATTGGAAGATGCCTCCGCAGTTGCCAAAATGACACAACGTAGGGCAAAATCAGAACCGCGCCTTTTTTCAGGCGGCGGGAGGAGGAGAGACGGCGAGAAGAGGAGCAGGTGCATGCTGGGCAGTTCAACCGTGCGTGTTTGCAGGGTTGTTAAACGGGACGAGCATGTGCGAATTGAGTTGGTCTCCTGCAAGAAAGGACCTCCCTTTTGAAGGATTCATCCATAGAAAATTGAGAGTAGATGACACAAACCTCCAAGTTTGGACCTTTAGATGGAGCCCCAACCAAAAAAACATTTTGGGGTTTGTGACATCTACGAATCTACTCTGAAACTACTGTAGTCGGATTCCAGCCTTCCAAATCGCCCCACGCCACGTGAAGGCTGCAGAAGAGGCCGCGCGCCTCGAGGCTGCTGAACGTGAGGCTCAGGTGTTGCAGCAGGTGGGGTTGGAGCAGACGGTGGCTTTCGGGGGCAGAAGATGGCAGAAGGAATTGAAAGTCATTGAGTAGGTCCCCCAAAAGAACTGATGTGGGTATGGCCCAAGAATACTCCATGAACGAAGATAGCATAACGTACCTGTATGCAACTTGGGGTGGTTTGCGGGGGGCAATGTGGGCACATCTTCCGTAGATGAAATAATTTGGGAGAATTGAACGACATTTCATCGCAAGAGACCTTGATAAAGAACGACACACACGCACAAAGGGATGCAACTTATGAATGTTTCACGCAGCTTCCTGAATGCATCCCAATTACCTTTCGAGCCAGGTGGTGGATGCCATGGCGGAGCCGGTGGACGTGGAGCAGGCGCCAGATGGAAGATGGGTTGTGAACAAAGACCCTCTACTGTAAACATCTGTAAACAATTGGAATAACTACGTATCATGTTAAGAGTAAGTGACCTCAGTTTGAAAAGGAGGCAGCACTTGGCTCATGGTTTGGTAGGTTTCTGAGGGGGCAATACTTCACAATTCTGTCACTATGTTTCTGAACCTTTGTGAAGCATTGATTTCCAGAGCTACCCAGCTGCTCTCAAAGGATGCAAAAAGTGTCCACAAATTGTTCAGATGGAGCTTTCTTACTTCCGGTCCCTATATTTGGATACAAACTATTACAAACTGGAACAATAGGGCTGCTCAGTTTCCCCCGTTGTCCTGCAAACGTTGTGTTTGTTGTGGCTTTGCTGCACCCCACTCAGATCTCCCAGAGTCTCCATGTGCACTGCTTGGGGGGGCGGTTTCAGGCTCGTAGGTCTTTGTAGGTCTGAGGCTTTTGGTATTTTATCACATCGAGACCGCGGAACCTCCCAAACCGGCTCCCACAGAGAAGGTTCGTTGAGATGTTGATGTGCGTGAGACCGGGCAAACAGGGTTATAATGCGAACTGAGGGACGACCGTTCGCACAGCGCCAATGAGATATAGGCTGCAGAGGGCAAAGTGCTGATCCGATTGAAAACCGCTGACTGAACAACCGGTGCCTTCATTACACGTACTCTAAAATATCGTGGTTTGCTTGATATTTTACAAATCTTGCATTTGACTCCAACGCCGGAATCGCAGCATTTGGCTCAAACCGCTTTGCTTCTTCGAAGCTCCACAAAAGCGGCATACGCTTCCTTTCCCAAGCCATGGCAGCTCAAGGTGAGTGGAAGACTTTGATCCCGGCCTACTTGCTCAAGGAGCTTTGACCATGGCATCCATGTCATGTCTTGAGAGTTTTCCACCCTGCGGTGGCAGTGGAGTTCACGAGATGGGGATTTAGCATGTGATATAAATAGTCACATTTTACTCTTGCGTGGTCGAAGTCGAGTCATCCTCTGAAAGATTCAATCCACCAAAAACATTCATGTAAGGTAACACATATAAAGTGACGACGTTGTAGGATCATCGCCCTCCAAGTCGTGGCTGACATGATGTGCATGTTCGCATCGCATTCCGTTGACAAGCCCAGATCATGTTGTTAGTCCGTCGTCGATTTGGGACTTTCAGGTTTGGTGGGTTGAATTCTGCAAACTCCCATGACTTTCAGGCTTGTTCAGTATCACACCAGTTTGTTTGGCTTCAGCATACGGGGCACAAGGGTTCCGGAGCTGGGGCGTCGAACGACACCGGATCGTCCCTGAAGGATCGTGCAGATCTGCAGAACTGCAAGACCTTGTTGCCAATGAAGGTAGCGCTGGGATGCATGGAAGGCCAGGGGCACGCTGGGCGCTGATACCGTTATAGGATAAGGCCTCAAATGCATAGAGGGCTGATCCGCGTTGCAGGGCGGCTGAGAGAACTTGCCTGACTCAAAGGTTTCGGAGATCAGCATAAGCACATGTGGTGGCGGGTGCCAGCGCAAAGAACCGGTTTTTGTTTGTTTATATATGTCCAGAATCCAAGGGTTGCTTTTGTGGGGTCATGCTTCTTCAACACCCGGAAATTGGAGCTTTCAACCCTGAGATCCGCGGATCAAACAGACCTCCATGACTGTAACAGACCCATCCATAAGAGTACATCAAACGAAAGCAGTCGAAAGCAAAACGCGAGCCGAAATGACAGTCCAAAGAGACGAACCAATCGCACCTTATGTTTACCAAAGTGTATAAAGTGGACACATGCACCAAATAAAACACCAGTATTCCCATTTCATCAGATTTCAACAGATGTGACCTTAAGGGGTTCTCCTCATTGATTTCTTCACATCAGGTGTAACTTCAAACTCCTGCAGATACTTGTCAGGTCCCAGTTTGGGCCTTAGCATGCAGCAAAACCGCCAAGAAACATCGAACACGCGAAAACCACACCTGTTGCTGCATTTCTGGGCTGGCCACATAGAAGCTGAGCTCCTTGGCAAAAAAAAAGAGCTATATATATATATGCTATATGGGTGGTTCTGTTTTTCGTGATCACCTCCTGTCCTGTTTCACATGGGATGTTCAGACTGGCACTCCTTCCGTGGCCCACCAGGTGGCCCATCGGAGCCGGAGAAGGAGACGGAGGCTGGCCAGGTGGGGAGCTGCGCACGTGTCTTCAGGTGACGAGGCAATGGAGCGGTAGGAGGAGGATTGAATCAGTGTAGAATGCAGACCAGATGGTTTATCTAGGGTACAAACATTTACAGATTCGTAGGGATCAAGGGTTTGATTTGATTAATCAGTTTAAAGTATTGCCATTTGGATCTATTTAGTTAAAAATGGAGGAATGGTCGGAATGGTGGTTTGTCTCAGTAAGATCTCCCCACTTGCTTCGGACATCATTGTTTTTGATCCTTCAACGTCTCACAAGATGGAGGTAGTACGGTACACCCGCTGCTGATGACTCAAGCCTGAAAGTTGACGGTGATTTTACTGAGAAGAGGCAGATCAGGTGCCATGTGAGTCATGTGAGATGTGATTCGACTGGGAGCCCGGGAGCAGTGATTTTCGAAGGAACACGGCAGCATTCGCTGAGGTGAAGAACATCCGTCTCCCAAAGACGTTATAGCTTCGGATCCTCAAAAGTGGGCTCCACATTGGCTGCCCTAATGGATTCCTCCCCAAACTGACTCATCACTTTGGAAAAGACATGTTTGCATTGCATCCCTTCGTGCTTGTTCAATTCATCTACTAGTTTCATGCAGGAAAACCGCGGCAACTGCGGAAGCGCACGCAGTGAGGGGTACTGGGCTAGAGGAGATATTAAGCCTTTCCGGGTGCAATTCTCCACTTCCATGTCATGCATGTGTGAGTGTAGAAGCAAACAAGAAGATCCCATTTGAATTTGGATGTTAACAGGAAATCCTGAGATTCTGCATGTTGTGTGTGATCATGTGACTTGGAGCCTGGCCTAGGCTGGCGCCGAGCCCGAGGAGGCCGGGAGAACACGCTGCGTCGGGGGTGTTGGAGTTTTTGTGGACACCAACGCAGGCTAACGGCTAACGAGTTAGCTAAATGAATTGAGACATGTGCTTTTCAGGACCTGGAGAGGGCGGAGAAAGGGAGAAATGGTTTCTGCAATCTTTTGGCCAAGTTGGATGAATACTGCAAGGTTGGATGAACCTTTTCTTTAGATACCTGCGTCACCAGGGTTGTTCCGGACCATCATCACCAGTTGCAAAGGAGTGCATCCGTGCGGATTCCTGAAATTATCTGAAATTCAGTGGTAGGTCAGCCGACGAGTCAACCACAGAGTTCATGTCCAAGCCTCCAGCTGACCCAGTCGGCCTCGAATCCCCGAGTTAAAAGGTTTCTTTTGAGCTCACGGCTTGATCGAAACTGAAGAGATCCATAAGACCTTCTGGGAAGGAACATGGTTTGACGTTGCTATTTTTTCGCAGGTTGTGTTCCTCCCTCTCGGAAGATGGTGGGTAGAACCAGGGTTTAAAATTTGGTGCCAACCAAGTTGTGGCCAATCCCCTCCGGGCCAATCGGAGGCGCCGCTTCCCACTGGTGGCCACGCGGTGTGGCTGCACATCTATGTGCCTTGCTGCGCTTGGTGCGAGAGGTCTTCCCCTCAATTGATTCTTAGCGAGTCCTTTAGCGGGTCATGAAGATCAGTTACATGCAGGTCCATACTGTCCCTCAAAATACCATTCAAAGGTTCCAAGATTATGACTCGACCGACATGGGTATTGTGTTTGCTGTAATTCCTTTCGTGTCATGGGATGTGTGTCCATTTCGAGACAGCTTCTCAAACGGATTCTGCCAGCCTCATGATGAAACATAGTTGAGGAGAATCCTAGAAAAAACTAGTAGCTTGAGAACTTGTCATGAGAACCTGTACGATCAAGTGCTGGGGAAAGACCCTGTGTCCTTTCCATCCACGACCTGTCCAAGACTGGAGAGACCGGTTCCCACACGGACAGGCACTAACACCATGGGCAATGAGGGGGAACACGTCACACCCAGGATGAGTTATGTTAAATGGATACGTCGGCCCCAAGAAGCCCTGGCACCCATCGCAATGGGATAAATACATCCACTAAAGATCTTTGGATTATTCGTTACTGCATTTTACCGCCATGAAGCTCCAGGCCAAGACAGCCTTCCTTGTCTCTCACGGGGGAGGCAGGCTCGTTTTGCGGCGTCTGACAGGACCTCACCGAGAGTTTCCACCTGCCCTGGATCAACAGTGCCCTCCGCAGCATGGATGCTGGGCTCTTCCATGCCGGCGTCGAGGTCGACCGGTCCGTGACCGGTACGTCCGGTCCAGCGACCATGCGTCGGTCCAGTTCGGGTGGTGGTCCTGGAGGACCGGCTGAGAAGGAGTAAGGCACCTGTTCCTAGTAGCGTGGCACTTGTTTGATCATGTAAGAGCTGAGACAAATCACATGAGATCATGAGAAGAGACATGACGCATGTCTTGTTTGGTCGAGCCCTCTTCTGAAAGCAGACTGAAAGGATCTGAAAGGACCCATGTGGCTTGACATGTAAAGACAATCGGGCCATAGTGTAGATCAGATAGATGATGATAGATGAAAAGAATTGGCCAATGAATCAGAGTATATTGGCCATAGTTATTTGGTGAATTGTGGGGAACCTGTTTCATCCCTCTTCTCTTGTACTTGCTCAAACTATGTGAGGGGTGTCAAAATGATGGGTTCACTGTATTCAATGCAATTCATTGGTTGATCTATAGAATATAAATCATATACTATCTATTTGGACGCACCATCTTCAGTTGATATCCTCCGGCTTGGCTGACGCAGGTGCATGGGCACGAGTTCAGCTTTGGCATGACTCGATCCTTGAACGCATCCAGAAGCATCGACCAACGTTTTCTCACAATGCAAATCTCGAGCATTTGACCAATAGGGGTATCAATCAATGGGTATATGCTGGAGTTTTGTTCCAACCAATAACCACTGTTGGACAGTCTTTGCCTTCGTATAAGTACCTCATGATGGTTTGTAGTTCGGCTGGACCGAGGCTATGGCCAAGGCACAGGCCTTTTCATGTGTAGGCCGAAGAAGAACGGCAACCATGCGTTCCTCGACCAAAGGAAGGGAGAGGCGTTCGGAGAGGAACAGCGGCTAGGAGATTACAGTTGCAGTAAGAAGAAAAAGTACAGAGCAGACAAGAAATGACAACAACCTTTCATTTTGCGTGGATGTTTCTTCTTCTTCATCAATCAACCTTTCAGCTTCTCCAGCTCAAGACTAGCCGGCCTAGCCATGGAAAAAGATCAAGCACGCTCAGAAACATGTTTCCCGAACGGACGTGCAGTATGAACGGACTGACAGAGGAAGCGGGTTGCAGGGTGTTTGGCTGAGGGTAGATGCAGATGAGCAATGAGACTTGGTTCAGCCTTTAGAAAGCCCACTAGAAGTTAGTAGGGCACTCAAGTTGTTTGTTGTCCACCTGGCGTGGTTGATCTAGAACGGGTTAGTAAGTTGCTTTAATTGGCCCTCGTCTCATTTGAATGTGTTCTTTGGATTGTGCAAGACATGCAATACACAAGTCCGACACAAGGTGTGGACGTAAGAACATCCCCTTCGGTGACTGTTTCTACAGCGACAAAGAAGGCAGTGATGACGGCAAACACCACTGCCGCAAGGCGTGCCAAAGCCAGAGATGCTCCACACTGCACGCAATCAAGCTGACTGGACAACAACGCTCAGTTGTCTTGCAAAGAACACTGGAGTCACAGAACGTCGTTGGTTGGCACTGCAGGCCATCTTACGATCCAGCGGCCATGCCCCTAAAGTGGCAGACCTATTCTGGTGTGGATCGCTTGAGTGATCTCAGAGCAGCGCACTTGGCTTGAATTGGGAACGGCGAGATGGAGCTCCTCAAGACGCACTTCATTGCTGACTATTTGTTGACTTCCTGGAGATGCAGTCGATTTTGACCGGTTGTGCCATTCAAAAGATGGTTAAACTTCGACAGACTCAGTTAATGCCTCCCTTAATAATTTTCTAAGCCCCCCTTCTAGTCAACCCACTAAAGGCAAGATAAGCAGAATACACTAACTGCATAAGGCTGATATTTCTAAAGTAATTCTTTACAAAGAACATCCAAACGAACAAAGCAGATCTATTTCCAACTATATTTCAAGAGCAGGTTTGTACTTAAAAGTAATAGTACTATTCTCCCAGAGGAGCCTTGTGGCCAACTTGCTCCCAGCTACCACCGAAGCCTACCTCTTCCCTGCTCCTACCTCTTCCCTGCTAGTTGGCTGCCCCAAGCATGTTGATTTGTTCGATGAGCAGATTGAGTTCAGAAATCATGTTGAAATCCCTGCCCGTCGCCATTCATCTTCCATGTCGATCCAAAATCCACCAAGGTGCCATTTAAAGCTCACATGGGTCTCCACTCCAAAAGCTTCCACATATCCCTTTCGTTTCTGGACTTCCCGTGGCCCTTCCTGTGGCGCCACACTTCTCTCTCCGCGCCACACCTTTGAACTGAACTTGGACCGTCCGGTCGGGCCGGGAGCGACCGAGGTATCGGGAATCGCTCTTCCTGGGACACACCAGCATGAGGCGCCAAGAGGTCAAGAAGGTGACGCAGGAAATGAAGAAGGAGTGGGTTGCATGATGATATGTGGTCTGTTGATATGTGGCTGGGATGGAGCTGGTGGGAAGAGTTTCATACTGTTTCTCGACTGGGTGGAGTGATGAGGTGTTCTGATGGTCCGCAGTGATTTGTAACTGCTCCTTTCCATTGCAAAGTGGGGTTTTCTACTTCCATTCTAGTTGGATGCTGTTTGGGAAAGAATAGGAAGGACGCACATGTACAGATCACTCACTTGAAGACAGCTCAAGTGAATGCTGACAGCATCCATTCCCATTGCAGTCCTGCTGAGTGAGACTGACGTTGAATCGAAGTGTGAAGAATCATAGGACGCTTTCCCCTCCAAAAAGATAGCGCGGGTGGGAAGTCTTTCACAGTAGTTGGTGGTGTCAGGAAGGTGGTGGGCATGTTCGAAGATAGAGCAAACAGAGCGATTCTTGACACATCAGTTGAGGTTGGCACCAACCAATCCAGATGACATATCCTGTCCTGTTGTTTTCCTGGTAGTTACTTTGGACTATGACCACGTTTGATGTCCCATGTCCGTCACTCTTTGCATCGCATCCACATGTGTTGTTTTTGCAGGAGTGGATGGGACACACCTATCGGTTGCTCAGTAAGAATTGCATCCACTTCTCCGCGGCCTTCAGCAAGTGGTTTGGGCAGCACAAGAGACCCAGAGATCCAGCGACTGCCCAGTTGAGAAGTCATGCGAAGTCCAAGAGCTTTGAATAGCGTTTGATATTATTTGATCAATATGATTTGAGGTGATTTGTGCGAAGGCATAGTTTGACCAGATGATTGATCAGGATGGCAGAACGTCACAGGAACAGGTTCTTCTGGCTGTTGTGCATGTGTGTTTCACATTCGACCAGTGGATGTCCTGTGATCTGCGCTGTGAAAGCGTGCTTGGTGCACATTTACCGATTCAATTTTTTTCGTTCCATTTCAAACCCAACTTCTTTTGCTGGTGACCGCCACAGCAGAGTCTCGACAAATTGGGGCTAGTGAAGGACTCCCCAACATGCAATCCTTGTCATTATTTCCATTTGCAGACTCCAAGCAGACATATATCCCTTCTCTCTCTAACAATAACGAAAGTTGAAAAGCCCTCCCTATAGTCTTCAACTAGACACTTGTCCGCAACAACTACTACTGTGTATAACCCATCTATTACTTTCCCGCAATGGTTGTTTCATACTTCCATGGGCTTGCGGAAGGAGTCTGCGTGCTCCACACACCGTGGCTTCACTCGAACCCAGGCGTTTGGGTGTGAAGGAGGTGCCGCGCTGGGTCTTCGGCATGGCCTCCCTGGCGCAAGACCTGGCCGCTTCGGAGCAGGATGGACAGCGCCAGGTAGACAAACAAGAGGAGAGGAGTGACACAGAGAGATTCAGAGAATGACTTGAATAGATCTTAGATGATCTTTAGGAGTTCTTGGGATTCTTCGAGTCGAGCTGATCGGCAGATTGTTGGAGTGCCAGAGTGGATGCAAAAGGAATACCACCTATCCCCTGGGTAGGTTGGTAGCTTTTCCCAAAATGGCAGGCCCCGAAGCCCTTTGGTTGGTTCGCAAATCGACCCACGCCCCAAATCGGTCCCCAAAGATCCCCAAACCAGCACCCTCCAACAGGTCTCCTCTATAAAGGGGGTGTTGGGCCTTTGCCAGGTCTCAATTGGTGACCTGGACAGGCCCAAATCAACCAGACAAGAGATGAGCACCATTGCTTTTGATACCCTCTGACTCACTAAACCTCACTCACATGGAGGACATGCTTTGTCGGGTGACTCTGTTCCTCTACAAACAGCGTGGGTGTCCACTTTATGGAACGTGAGTGGGACAATCCACCAGCACCTGAGAACCTGCCGGCACCTGAGGATTGCACAGGGATTATCCTAATAGCCTAAGAGGTGGAAAGTGGGCTTCGCCAGAGGAGAACAAAACGAGACATTCAATCTTAATCAATCTGAAGGTGCACCCAGTGCACCGTTCTGAATCAAGTTATATGATCTAATTCCTTGTTGGAACCCCTGGAACCCCTTCTGTTTACGAAGCAAACACATCATCTCAAGTTCTTTGGCACCTTTCAGGTCGCTGTCACCACCCAACCTTCTTACCCCCCGCTGTCACCACTTCTAGATTCATTTTTGTCAGGTCCAAAGCCTGGCCAATCGCACCGAAGCCATGGGCCGTGCCTTCGATCGTTCGATGGTGGCGTTGGGCTTCGGTGGGGATGGCCTTCTTCCAGGAGAGTCGTCCGAAAAAACTTGGGAGTTTCAAGTTCCAAGTCGCAAGAAAACAATTGAGCAGCGTTCAAAACCTGAATGCAAGAACCACATGATCCGATTAAACTGCAAGACTGTCGCGTAAGCTAAAGTCTGCACGGCGTAAGGGTTGCGTAAGGTTCGGTGGAAGCCAAGCTTGGGACACTCGATGCGTAAGAGGTGCGTAAGCAATTTTGAGTCTTCTAGTTACACAGCCAATATACGTTTTTTTGCTGAGAAACACTGCAAGCAGAAAAGGGTTGTGGACTCAATCTCTCAAAGGCCCTGTTTGCAGGGGTCGAGTGGCCCACGACCACACGAATTCCGCGTAAGCCCCGCGTAAGCCGATTCGTAAGGTTTGCGTAGGCGAACTTCTCAGATGAAGCCCTTTGCTCACGTCCACCAAAGGTGTTTTCTAAAGAAACCGAAGCAAGCAGCTGACCACTTTTCAAGCACAAAGCGCACTGTGACCCTCGCTCCAACTGCTTGGTCCCCATGGCTGACAAAAAGAAGCAGCGGGCTCCACCAAGTGAATCATACAAGCAAAGTGTAAATTACTTTACTTCGAGTGATCCCCGGGAGTGCCCACTGCGATCTGGAGTGCGCACCGCTATTTGGCGCATGCTGTTGGAGTCCGGGATTCCCCACTGTGATCTGGCGCTTGCTCTAGTGAAGCGGGGCAGAGGAGAAGGAGAGGGATCATCTTCTAAAATCTACTGTAACCACCCTCACCTGACAGGTTGGGAACAAAGAGTGTTCACCGCTCTGGTGCCAAAACGCCGGTAGCAAAACCGCCGCGTAAGAAACGCGTAAGCCCTAAGAGAAACAACATCACCGCGTAAGCGAAAACATTGGTAGCGTAAGCATTGCGGAAGCCGACGCGTAAGCAGAGAAGGATTATAAGGCCAAGACTAAAGGGTTTCGACCACCGCTCAATTGGAGTTCCAGGGTTTTCTGGTTTGTACAGTTTCTTGGTTTGGTCGTTCTGGGAGTTTGGTCTTGTTTTGTAGAATATTGTGGAATTGACTGTTTGACCAGTATCATTTGGGTGTGTCTTTTAGTGGGGGAGACTCCCTGGCCCAATGGTTTTCGGTCTATTTTCCAAACCTTCCATGGGATCGAACTGGGAGGTCTCCCTTTATTTGAGCTACACCCATTGGTGAAGAAGGTGATGTTGCCTGAATAGAAAGGCAGATACGCCGTTGGGCGACACAGATCGACTACGACTATGACTATTTGTCATGGATGAAAACAGACCGCTGGGTTCTTGAATAGGAGCTATAGAGGGTGAAAATGTTTGCTTTTGGCGGTTGCTTGCTTATCATGGGAAGATATGGCAAGTTACTATCAACGATGAACCGTTGAACGCATTTGATGATATTTCCATGAATTTGCTGAGGTGCCATTTCCCTCACCAACTGCAATGGCAGCCAGCTCTTGGACGAGATCGCTGAAGAGAGGCGCCAGGCACTGGCCAGTGGGACCCGCCGCTGGGACAAAGGATTCAGCTGCGGGGGAGGTGTAGGCCATGCGTCTAGGCGGGTCAAGGCGAATCCAAAACTCTGAGGAGGCCTAAGACATTCAATGAGTGGTGGTGGCCTCAAGATAGGATGGAATTGAGTGTAGTCACGGGGATGGATGTTGTTTGGCGAGGAGCTGGACATGTTCATAGGACTTCTATGACTTCGGTGATTGTGACATGCGCAACTGCGACTCAGTTGCCTAGTCAACCTCCATGGTCCTTTGGTCCAATGGTTTCTTCAAAGTATACAAAACAAAGAATGCCCTCAATGGGTGTTCAGGGGTAAAACAACCAATGGCCGAGTCCAATACCAATGGCTGCATGTTTATATTACTATTATTGACAACTCTTTCCGGGCACAAACATGTATCAACAAACCTGGCCGGTGCAACACTCTGGCCGGTACAACACTCAATTAAATGTGAACACCTCCCCAAGCACCTCCGAATTGTCCTCCCAGGTTATGATCTCTGAGGCCGCGGTTAGAACCTCTTTGCGAAGGTCCTGGTAATCAGCCCCCCTTCACGGGGGCTCGGGAATGACGAGAAGCTGGAGAGGAAGCTGGAAGCTGGAGGAGAGTGGAAGCCAAGAGCTCAGAAGGTCAGGGACTACTACGTCACCATCTTGGTTGAAACACCTAAGGTAGTTGGACAATGTAATGAGGGAGATGGGTGGATGTTTTGCTGAGTCTCCCAATCTCCTCGACTGGTGATCACTTCTACTGTCGAATCAAGCTCTTTTGGAAGACTAAGGACAGGATTATATAATTATATAGCTGCTAGCTGGAATATGTGGTATTGGTAGAAACTTCTCCTGAGGGATTGTCGCACATTGTGGTGCTAGTCCGACATTAACACTTTTGGAAGACTTAAGATGATCTCCTCATCACAAAAGCATCGATGTCTTCTCTTTGGGTCAGCCGATCCCAAAAGCTTTACGTGCTGCACCTTTCAGGTGAGCCCTCCCCAGGGCCCCTGGGTTTGTTTCTTCAACTTCTTGCAATCAGGGCAGTTCCCTCCGAGCTTCTCCGTGCTTCTTTGCACATTTCAGAGACCATCAGCATGGCAAGCAATGCTATAGCCATGCCAGGCAGCTCCAAACGGAATCCAGGGCTTTTGGGCTCGACTGTACAGCTTGCATGTGTACAGACTCAATCTGAGGAGCTGGGCGTTCTAAGATTATCTAATAGGTTGACATCTCCAATACTTGATGTCCAACGCTTGCCATGTTGCAATTCTGATGTGTTGATGTTCCTGAATCTTGTTATTTTAGTGTTACTGTTAGGGCACGATTTCCAAACATATACAGTAGAGGATGTGAGGATGATAGAGGATGGTAGATTTTCTGGGCGACCCAGCTGCGCGCTGTAGAGCCGCGCTTTGATTCGCAAGCTCCACTCTAGCCGAGCAGAACCTCTGGAATACGTTCAAACAATGTGCGCTTGCTCTTTCCAGAAGCTTCCAGCAAAAACTGTTTCATCCAGCCAATGTGGGATATTTGCTGTATAAAAGAAAACTATATAAGCTATACGATCTTGCTTGACAGAGGATTCGGTGCGTACGGCAGGCGAATGCGGGCCACGGCGGAAACCTCCGCGGTCCCAGGTTTCGCCGATTGGTCCCAGCCCCGAAGCCCCTGCCAGCCAGGTGATGATGCAGGGAGCAGTCAAGGCCGCTCAGGACTGCAAGGGATGAACAGCAGGGATGACTCCCCAATGTAAGTTTCTATGGTCTATGTGTCTAGAGAACTCCCATCGAGACAGCAAACGGTCCACCCCCACCCCCCCAGGCTGTTGCCCTATTCCAGGAGCGCGCGCAGAGGGCTGCAAAGGTGGAAAGCTGCTCAGTGGAAGCAGTGGCGGATGGGGGTTGACCACGGCTGGACCACGGCCTGAGACTTCATAGACCAAATCCTGGAGGGCTTTGGAACTGGGTCCTTTTAGTGTGGGTCCCGCAACAACTACTATTTATTAGAAACAAGAAGCTACTAGGAACGAGTGCATCGCTTCTAGTAACAAGTGCCTTACTAGTAGTAACAAGAAGCTACTAGGAACAAGATAGATATATATGAGCCACGGTCAAAACATGCGAAGACCACTTTAGTAAAGAGGGGTAGGTTTGTGCACAAAACCCTGCAAAACGATAAGGTCCACCTCAAAACCGATAACCCCAGCGCTGTATATGATCATAAGTATGCGACGAACTCAAAACACTGTAAAACGATAAGGTCCGACTCAAAACCGATGACGTCCATTTTTTTGTTGAAGAAGAATAAGGAGTTTTGACCGTCCCTCATATATATATATATATATCTATAGAAAACACTTGAAGGTGTTCGATGGTCTGACATGTGGTGCAGGTCTACCAAGAGCCCACCACAAGCCTTTGTGATTTGGACGTACCATGTGGTTAAGAACACCGCTTCAGTATTTCGGGTAAGAATATGATAGAATATGTAAGAATGATTTGTCATTGGATGCTCACTGCATTTGTTTGCTTGGCCAAGATGAGATAGAGATGTTTCAACAAGCTTGATCTTATTTGGAGGTCCAGACCTTGAATGGATTTGATGTGGGTGTGTTGCTCAAATAGGGAGACCTCCCATTTCGACCCCCTGGAAGAGGGAACATCAAAAAAAGTTGGGCTGCGCCTATGGGGGTCTCTCCCACTTAAAATACACACGAATGTAGTGAAGATCGTAGTGATCGACGAAGTGTCATATGTCCTGCCTTTTTCTTTGTCTATCTTCGATCAACTCCGAGAGCATCGATGTGTGTTGAGTCCCTAAGGCCCAGAAGAGAAAGCGGAGCGCCAGAAGAAGGAGCAGGCAGGATCGAGGGGTGGCGATTCGCCGAGGTCGCCGGAGGTCATGCTGAGTCGCCGAGGTCAGTTTCAGGTCCGCCGCGAATTTCAGGTCCCTGGACGATGGTGGACCGATTCATCAGCAGATTTTCTCATGAGGTGTTTTGCCTTCTAGAAAGAAGCAAACCATGAGATACGGAGAGTAGAGACGGCGGGAACGGGAAGAAGGAGACCCTTGGTTTGCAGTTCACCTCTTCACCACGAGTGTATGGGAGAAGCAGATTGATCGTATTACTTGGTCGGATGTCGATAAGGATGTTCTTTCCCTTGTTACTACTGATACTGCAGATAGTTCATCTTGTAAATCTTGTATCTGTGAGATAGCTTCTAGCTACCTATGCAGATAGCTGCATAGTAATGCCCTTGTTACGACCGTAACCGATGCACTTGTTACTAGACTAGTAGCGGTGCCCGGTTCAACACGAGTGACATTCGCAACGGCACCGAGGATCGTATCGGTCCACCGAGGCCTTGGCCTGGTTGCTGGAGTACCAACGAAAGCAAGCCGAGGTGGCTGGGTAAACGAGCCGCAGAAGATCCACTCTTTGTGAAGAAATACATATTTGTTGGTTTTAAACATGTTTTCACAGAGGACTTGCTTTGCTATCTTTTGTTTTTTTGTTTGTTTTACAATGCCAATTGCTTGTGTTGTTTCGCTTTCAAAATACATACATACTCAGTAGTATGTTTGTTAACAGGAGGAAAGTCGGGATGATGCGGTGGATGCTTTCCAAGTCACCAGAAGGCCCCATATTTTATAATGTTTATTAATGTTGGGATGGGTGGATCGCTGACTTTGCCGATTGGTGGAGACTGGCGGGGGCCACATCGGTTGACCTGTGTTTACGTGGATATCGCTGAGAGAGTGGCAGGAGAAGGAGGAGGCAGAGAGGCTCCGTCCGGGACGACCATGCTTGGCGCGGCGTCGTTGTCGTCTTCTTCGTCGTTGTCGCGGTCGTTACGGATCGGTTGAGACAAGGAGTGGACCCTTTGGGGCCCTTGGTTTTCCAACATCGATGGAGAATAAAGGAATGCCAGGAGCGACTAATAGCTTCTTGTTACTAGTTGTCACCACTGGGTGTCAACGGGCTTCAACCAACATGAGATCGCTTGAGTCGCTGGTGATGTGCCAATCATTGGGTCACTGGGTCACCTTGGGTGGAGTATCATCGCGAAGGTAACCTATTGATACCTATTGCACTATAGTGTTTTTCTATTGCCCATGTGCTCCATCAAGCAACATGTCTCTCACCTGACGGGGCGGCAGAGTGACAGCCAGCAGTTTCAAAAGTGTAAACCTCCTGCTCGTGCTGCTGGGAACATGTCTGATAAGGCAGGAATGTAAATAAACCTGCTCCCACCAGGTGTGTCACTCATTTGTAGGATCACGTCAAAGATCGGTCACAGCGTCAGCTGTTAAGTGGAGAGATTAATTTACAAGTATCTCAGAAGTTGGTCGCATCTTCATTTGGACATGTTTAGAAGATACATGATATACGTACTAATTGGCATGGCTGCTTCGAATCAGCATGGCTCATACCGAAGTCTGTAGCTAGTTGCTGAAACCACAAGGGATTCAAAGCCGCCTGGCCTGGATGGTGGACGTCCCACCGAGAGGTGGTTGGTGTGACTTAGTCTGGGTGGTGAAGCCACACCAGGCAGCGACTGGAGCGCGAGCAAGCGGAGAGAGAGGTGAAGATGGAGGCCGCAAACAGAGCTCCAGTTTTGTTCATCCCTGCCCTAGGACCTAGGACCTAGGAGAGGAAGCCAATGCTTAGGACCTAGATGGACCTAGGATTTACATGAAGCTTTTGGTCATCCCGCTCTCGGTGGACAAGCTGCAACAACTCACAGAGGTCGAAGAGGTGGAGAAAGGGTTCACCTTTATTTCCAGAGTGCTAAGGAAAGATGACATGTTTAGCACCTCGCATGGATTTTGCCAGGATTTCCCTCACACGTTCTTTCTCGTCATAGAGGGGGACCATTCAGATGGTGCAAACGCGTGAAGCACGGGGGTGTCCCAGGCCATATTATGCCCAAACCCACCCACAAGACTAGTGGCTTCAAAGATCCCACGTTGCCTGTGGGATACCACGTTTCGCACCGCGCCCACCGCTGGTCCAGGCGGAGCGTCGACTTCGGGAGGAGGCACGGTGAGTTTCGGCGGCGAAACGGCCGTGATCATTAGACCATATTAGACCATTTTTCCTCTACAGCCCAGTGGTTGTAGAGGTTTGTATTAATCTGCAGGCGGGTGGGTTCGGTGGAGGTCCCAGGGTTGATGAATCGTCACAAAGAAATATGACAAGACAAAGAAACAGAAGCTACCACAAGCTGATAATGCAATGTGTTTATCACTGTGAAGCTTGTGACATGAATATACCAATCTAATGGGACTGTGACTAATTATATACCAAGAGCAACTCCTTAGATTAAAGTAAAATAGAGCACAGACGCTTAAAACAACAAACCATACATGAGGTGTTATCGCTTGTATGTATGCTTCCCTCGCCAGCGGTTAGGATCACATATGCCGGGAGCATGGGTCGCTGGGAGCATTGACACATGTGGAAGCGATACAAGCATGGGCTTGAGAGACGTTTGAAAAAGGACCCCAGCTTTGGAGCTCAGAGGAGGCCAAAGATGACTTCAATAAAGTTTCATTTCTTCCCAAGGCTCCAACTGCCTCGGGTTTGAAGGTGTTTGACCCAAGGGAGCACCATGAC